GAGAAGCAGGAGGAGGAGGAGGAAGAGGAAAAAGAGAAGAAAGGAAGATGAAGGAGGAGGAGGAAGAAGAGGAAAAAGAGAAGGAAGAAAGGAAGAAGGAGATGAAGAGGAGGAGGAGGAGGAAGAGGAGAGGAGAAGCAGGAAGAGGAGGAGGAGGAAGAGGAAAAAGAGAAAGAAGAAAGGAAGAAGGAGATGAAGAAGAGGAAGAAGAGGTGGTCAACCTGCTAGGGAGACTGAGAAACTGACTCACCTGTGTAATTGATGACCATGGCTTTGCCAAACACCGATGGTGAATATTTAGGATTAGCCAGCTTGGTGTTCAAATAGAGCTTGAAATTGGGATCGTAGTCCACCTCCTTGTCCCCAAGAATGATAAATGTCCGTCCCTGGGCAGTTTTGATGTTTTTTTCCAAGACGTTATCAATGACCGGGTCAATGTATTCATCGACGTCATGGAACAAGAAAGGGTTCCCGTATTTTATGGCCATTTCCAGTTGCTTCAGGAAATCGGGGTCGTTGAACGAAGCCATCTGAGAGAGGAGGCAATACCCAAAAGTCAACCTGCCCAACGGTTGGATCTGCTGTGGTCATCCCGCTCGCTCCCAAGGCCCCCGTTGACCCAAGTCTCCTCATTAACACCTCAGGCAAAGTTGAATGAGACCTGAACTTCACTGCCCCTTCTACTCCGTCCGGTTCTTGGCCGGAGGTTCTCACCCTGAGGTTATTTTTCTCTTCTTTCCGCTTGATCCAATTCAAGGCTTGCTGCTGGGGGTCAATGCACAACGGGAATCGGCTGGCTCGGGTGGTCAGGATCCCGTTATGAACAGAGAGCTCGTCTGGGGGAAGACCTTGGGAGCCCCACCTGGAAGGAAAACAAGGGTGGGGAGGAAGAGAGAGGTTTCAGTAAGGCCAAAGAGCCCCCCACGCTTTTCTCCCAGGGGTTTCTGATGCAAAAGCCAGTTTGGTCTAGTGGTTAAGGCCTGAGGCTAGAAAGCAGGAGGCGGTGAATTCTAGTCCTGCCTTAGCCATGAATGATGGCTGGTTTAACTTGGGACAATCACCAGGAAAAGATGAGTTCGAGTCCCACTCCAAGCATGAAAGCTGACTTAGGGCTAATCACTAGGAGACGATGAGTTCTAGTTCTACGTTAGCCATGAATGTTAGTTGGGTGACCTTGGGCCAATCACCAGGAGACGATGAGTTCTAGTTCTACGTTAGCCATGAAAGCTGGCTGGGTGACCTTGGGACAATCACCAGGAAACTGTGAGTTCTAATCCCACTTCAAGCATGAAAGCTGGCTGGGTGACTTTGGGCTAATCAACAGGAGACGGTGAGTTCTAGTTCTACCTTAGCCATGAAAGCCGTCTAGGTGACATGGGGCCAGTCCCTCTCTCTCAGCCCAATCCACCACACAGGGTTGTTTTGTGGGGAAAACAGGAGGGAGCAAAGTGTGTGGGATATGTTTGCTGCCTTGAGTAACTTGTAAAAATAAAATAAAAAGGCCTACCAACAAATAAAACAAACCACCGGCTGAAAAACTTCGGAAGTTGTGCAGAAGTTT